AGATGGCTCAGCGTGGGGCATCATGCTAGTAGCAACTCCCCTCCAGGAGAGAGGACTCGGGAGTACCGAGGGGCTTGTGGTCCCTGGCATGTACAGCAGCACCCTGATGACAAACATGGGCACCGAGCACACTCCTTTATGCAGACAAGGCCACACACTCACGGAGACGTGAGTTCTAGATGCCTGTGCATGCACATGCTCACACGGACCCTCAGGGATGAGCACGGCCGTGCACACAGTCAAAGCCATACAGGCATATGCACGCACTGCTGGATGAGCCCTCAGGCGTGCCCCAGACGCCAGCCATGCACTCTCCAGGTATGCTCACACTCCCAGGCACACGTGTGCTCCCAAGCCCCGGGTGCCCACACATTCCCACTAAGCCATACCTTCATGCAGGCGGTGGGGGGGGGCATGCGGGGAGTGGGAATGTGGCCCGGGAGGGTGCCTGCAGCCTGCAAGGGGAGCAGGGCAGGGTCTGTCAGCCTCCTGGTCTCCAGTAGGCCCAGTGGCAGAGCCCGCAGGTCTCTGCAAGGGTGAACACCAGGTGGAAAATGATTAGCTGTCACTCAGCCCTTGATAGATGCAGCCTGCTCTTGGCAAAGGGCTGACACGCTATTGATCCACTTAGTGTACTCCTACCAGCACCCTGGCTAAGGACCACAGAAGCAGGGGAGGGAAGGGCTGAGTCTGTGCAGGGGGCGGGGGGGGGGAGGCTGCCAGGCTGGTCCATGCCCACAGCCCCTGCTTGGCCCGCAGTTACACTCAGGCAGGGTGCTCCCTCTTCTCAGCTCCCTCATCCCACATTTGCATCTCCAGCCGTGACTGCCCAGTCCGGGCTGGAGAGGGGAAGGGGAGTAACCAGGGCATGGGAGGGATGGAGGGAAAACTGATGCCAGGACCACAGGACCACTGGGCACGGAACCTGCAAGAACAAATCAACACCTGGGCCCTTCTCCTAGAGATGTTGTCAAACTTCTTCTGTTCCTTAAGAGACCTTCATCTGTAGCTGGGGCTATGGCTTCAGTCCATCAATAAGCCTGAACTGACCTTTTAGTGCCTTCTGATGGTGCATTTACCTATCCAAATGTCTGTCCATCCATCACCTTCCCATTCGTCCATCCACCCAACCATCTATCTGTCCACCTGTCCATCTACTCACCCATCCATCCATACTCTGTCCATCTGTCCAACCACCCAGGCAACCATCTATCCATCTACCTAACCCAGCCATCCACTCACCTGCCCATTTGTTTACCCATCCATCCATCCATCCATCCATCCATCCATCCATCCATCCATCCATGCATCCATCCATTCTTTTCCTCCCTCTCCTCCTTTCTTTTTCATCTATCTGTCCGTCCATCTGTTGAACCCTGCAGCCACCCAACAGACATTTATTAAGCACTGAGCATGTGTGGGTCCTGCATCCATTATGGTGATGGGAGGTGGGAAGTTGGCTGTAGGTGGACAGAGACAGGACTAGACCTCAGTCCTGTCCTGGGGATGCCCTGTCTCCGAGGTCTGAGGGCAGACTAGAACATCGTGAGCTGGCTCAGGGCACCCTCTGCTGGTGGCGAGGCAAGTGCACACCTCTAACACCAACACTGGCTCCAGGGATTTTAGAACTGGGTTTCCAAGGAGTGGCCGTGGGGACCCCAAGGGAGGTCCCCAGAGACCGCCAGCCTTCTTGCCAGGCCCCATCGTTTCCCACAGGGGTTTCACTTGTGGAGATGAGGGCTCTGGGCTTCCTGCTGCCACAGACCAGGCATCTCTGGGACAAATGGCCTTGAGCCTGGGGATGGCCACAGGTGCAGGCCCAGGATGGGCAGAGAGCATCCAGTCAGACCGCACTTCGGCTGCCCTGGCTTAGGCCTGCTAGCCTCCATGCACCATTCCTCCCTATGTCCAGGCTGGGCCAGAGCCCAGGGCTGGCCGCCTCTGCTTTCAGCAGTGATGGGCATGGTCATCCTTGATGGGGGCTCCTCCACCGGTGGCCCCAGCTCCCAGGCAAGGCTGGACCCTGTGGGGGATTCAGAAGGGTCCTGCCCTGGGAAGTTCCTACCCCGCACTCCTTTGCTGCTCCCTGCTTCCTGCCTCCTCACGGCTTTAGGCTGGAGAAGGTGCCAAGCTCTCACCAGCCTGAGTGCTTCGAACGCCGTGGGGGCCACAGAGGGTAAAGTTGGGGAAAGGGCGCCCCCTCTTCAGGGAGCACATGCCAGGCTCAACAGAGGAGCTTCAGCTGGGTGTGATTTGGGCTGGTGAACAGGTGCCAGTGGGATGGTCTGCCCCACCCACCCACCCACCCAGACACACTCACATCCACACATATTCCTGTGTTGGCAGTTCAGTCCACAGTCCCCAAGCCCTGGGGCTCTATGAGGATGGAGTCTGGGGTTTGGGGGCTGGAGCTGGGTTCAGCATCCCCTCGGTGGATTCAGGGTGAGGACTCAGGGCTGGGCCTCCTGTGGGCAGGTGGACGGCATGCTGGGCGCCACCAAGCGGCCATCATGATCATTGCCTGGATTCTGTGTCTCCGCTTTCCATTTCCAGAAGGAAATCCCCCTCTTTTATTTGCTTATTTATTTTTTTTTAATTTTATTATTTATTTGACAGACAGAGATCACAAATAGGCAAAGAGGCAGGCAGAGAGAGAGAGGGATAAGCAGGCTCCCTGCTGAGCAGAGAGCCCGATGTGGGGCTCGATCCCAGGGCCTTGGGATCATGACCTGAGCTGAAGGCAGAGGTTTAACCCACTGAGCCACCCAGGTGCCCCTGCTTATTTATTTTTTAAAGATTTATTTATTTGAGAGAGAGAGAGAAAGGGAGAGAGGGATACAATTTGGGGGAGGGGCAGAGGGAAAGACTCCTCCAGCAGCCTTCCCCACTGACTGCTGGACCTAGACAGGGCTCGATCCCGTGACCCTGAGATCATGACCTGAGCTGAAACCAAGGGGTCGAGGCTTAACTCTCTGAACCACTTGGGTGCCCCAGGAAAGTCCCTCTTTGATGGACGTGTTATGTGTGTCCATCTGCCCAGCTCGGGCTGAGCTGTCTCTGAGGGATGACATGAGTTAAGATGTTTCTTCCTGGTACACGCCCCCCCAACACACACACTTCTCTCTCTCATTCTATCTCTTTCACACTTGCAACACACACACACACACACACACACTCACACGTGCACAGCGGGAGGTTGGTCCCGTGGCGATCCAAATTGTCTCCAAGCAGCAGCTTGCCTCAGCTGGGCTTCCGGGTGTCCCCCTGGCTGATGGGATGACATGGTGACACCCGGCCTCAGGCTTCACCAGATGCCTCCCTGCCCAGAGACACTAGTTGTGTGTGGAGACTTCCCTCTCACTCTGCGAGCCCCGCAGCCCAGGCGCAGCTGTGTCGGGGCCCTTCCCTGCCTCCTCTCACGCTGACCCAGCCTTGGAGCCTCAAGGCACTTGTCTCGCTGCCTCCACACCCCGGAGCCCCTGGGGCCCTGACCACAGCCTCCTTCCTGCCCCTCCGAGCTCCTCCTGCCAGATGGCCAGGCCACTCCAGCTGGAACCTGGGGAAGGGGGACCCTGCTCGGGGTTCCTGGACATACGGGACCCCAAGCAGGGGGAGGCAGCCTCAGTTCCTTGTCCCACCTTTGTTAAGTTTCCGGAGCCCATGGTGGAGGCAGAAAGGGGGTGGAGCCCCACGGGCCAGCATGAGGCTGGCTGGGAGCCAGCAGCACGGCGACCGTGGGACCAGCAGGGTCTCCTCCCAGGCCCCAGCAGCATCTCCCCCAACATGTGGGAACAGACTGACAGCCATCTCCTGGCGAGATCCACGGAGACACCCTTGGAAAGATACAGAAGGCCGTGCAGCAGACAGGCTGACAGAGAGATGAGGCCTGACAGCAGACAGACAGACCGACCTTTAGAAACAGGCAGCATTTTGTATTACAAACGGGACCGGACATAGTCACGGCCACAGCCACCCTCAAAGCTCCCACACACTTTTTCTGGGACCTTTCGAGAATCACTCTGGCTTTGGACAATTTCAGAGCCATTACTGTGTGTGGAAAGTACACTGTTGGACAAGTTCCCCCTGTGGGCTTCTCTTCCTCCTCCCCCACGGGTGGGCAGCCCTGAAAGCTTTAAGGGCGTCTGGTCAGGTGAAGGGAGCCAGGGGTCAAGGCCAGGTCAAGGGGTCTCCAGACAACAGCTTCGAGATAAAGCCATGCTGAGAGAAAGGGAGAGCATCCCTCCCGGCCCGTAAGTGCCATACCCACGGAGACCCCCCCATGCTGGACCCCACAGATCCCCACATGGCAGCTTGCCCAGGGAACCCTGGCAGGTCCCCAGAGGGCCTCCACAAAGTGACTAACAAGAAGAGACCCCAGTGGGCCTCCACGGGGACAGGTCAAGTGTCTCCTTTCAGGATAAATGGGCCAGAACTGAGACCAGAGGCCCCAGGTGCCCTGAATGAGAGCCTCAGATCCTCTACTCTCCCCGCCTCCTTTCCCGCAGCAGGACCTGCAGACGCCTGGCTCAGGCCCCTGGGGAGGGAGAAAGAGCCCCCAGAGCCCGGGGAAGGGGCCATGTGTTCCCATACCAACACCAAGTGTAGACACCTCTACTCTGGAAACCATGTGCTTTATTTGGAATCTCTTTCCGAGGGAACCTCCCCCGGGCTCATAGAAAATCTGCAAACCATGTGGTTTGGTACAAGGCAATGGCTAAGGGACCGCAGGAAGTCCCTTACCGCTGGGCCCTCGTCTTCCGGGCCTCAGGCTTCCCCGGCCATCCTGACTCTGCTGAGCTGGGTGTTTGCAGCTGGGACTCCTGGGGTCCTGCTCAACCCCCGGGCGTCTTCCTCAGCAGAGGAGTGAGGAAGTGGGGATGGGACAGGGGCCAGAGGCTCCCCTCCAAGGCCCGGGCCTCTGTCCCCCACGTACAGCTAGCGGCACCGAGCAGTCGCGGCTGCTCCGGTCTCCGGAGCGCCGACAGGTGTGGGAGCGCGCGCCGGCGCGTGGGGCGGGGCTGCCAGCGGCCAGCCGGCCCTGCGCGTCAGTACAGGTCCGCAAAGGGCTTGGAGTAGTTGAAAACCAGGTAGTCCATGTAGTAGAAGTCGTAGGTGCGCTGCCGCTGCAGGGCGGAGAGCTGGGTGAAGTACTGGCGGGCGATCTGCGCCGTGGTCCGGGCCTCCTGCGAGTGCCGGTCTTTGAACCGGGGGAAGGTCAGGTTCCGGGGCGCCCGGATGAGGCTCAGGAAAAAGTTGGCGTCGTCCTCCATGCTCTCGAACTTGCCCACGAAGTCATAGTCGATGAGACAGGGGCTGCACAGCCGGCTGACGTGGTCCCAGTGGATGTCCATGCCCACGGGCCGGTGCACGTCCAGCAGGTACTGGACGAACTCGGGGAAGCGCACGCCAGAGCCCGTCCGCAGTGCCTCCCGGGACGCGTTGGCCCGGTAACGGGCCAGGATGGCCTTGCCGAACACGGGGTGGTAGTAGCTATTGGGGTGCTCGAACTTGTCGCGGAAGGCGGAGACCAGCCTCTCGAAGGGCTCGCGGACGAAGAGCATCTTGGTGTAGGTGCTGAGGCGGTGAAGGATGCCCTGGCGATCAAAGGTGTCCAGCCGCTTGAGGGCGCCGCCGTAGTGGACAGTGTTGTGCGGGATGTCGGCGGTGGACGAGGCCAGCCCCGCCAGCACCATGAGCACCCTCTTCCAGTTGGAGCAGCCCGCCTTGGGCACCTCGCAGTACAGCACGCGGTGGCGGTCCTCCACGAAGATGCGGGACACGTGGCGGGGGGTGACCGCCCGGCGGCTGCTGCTGGCCCTATACTTGGCACATGCCTCCCGCATCACCCGCTTGCGCTCCTGCTGGCTGCGGTGCATGGTGACCCAGTGGCCGTCGGGGGCCCAGGGTGCCGGCCGCGCAAATGCGCCCACTGAGCCGTTGGCCGGGACGGCTGCCGCAGGGGGCATTTTCTTGATAAGTAACCGCCGGCGGCGCTGCCGGGGCCGGGGCCGGGGCCGGGCCCCCGTGTTTAGGTGGGCTTGAGGCTGGTCTGGCACTGGCAGGTGGAAGTCCCTTGGGGCCCGGCTGGACAAGTCTCCGGGGACCTTCTCCGTCGGTGCCTTCGAATCACCATCCTGGGAACTGCCTGGTGGGACGTCCTGGAGCAAGAAGAGAAATGGTTATCAGCATGGACGGGCCACTTATCAGCAGGACACTGAGCATCACACAGGTCAGACCCTCACTATGGCTGGGGTCCCTGCCCCCTCTGTTGCCTCTTTTTTTTTTTTTTCCAGGGTGAGGGAGGAGACCAGCTGAGTCTGCTGGATGGGACCCCTCTGGCAGAGCCCACGTCTAGTCCCTGAAGGCCCCACCCCTGGCTGGCCACTGTCTTGAGGCCAGAGATGCAAGTGTCTTTTCAGCCACGAGATGGCGCAGGCCTCCCAGGAACCTCTCAGAGCCGGGCGAGGGGAACAGGGCAGGGAGCTGGTGGCCGGAGGAGGCTGGCTCAGATTTACCGCCTCTATTAGCAAAAGTCCAAAGCCGCCAGCTAACAGGAAGGAGAAATTCATGGGTCCAAAGCCCTGGGCTTTGTTCCCTAGGCTCCTAGGAAGGACAGGGCACGTTTTTCTTTCCAAAAATGGATTTGACATGAGCTCTGGATTTTCTTCCCTGCTCACCCCACCCCCTCCAACTCGCCCCAGGCTGCCGGTGCTCAGATTTATCGGACTCTCAGAACTCACGTTGTAGGGCTGCTGTGGCCTGATGCTGAACTTTATTCCTGAAAAGCAGAGAGGACAGTATTAGCAGAAGTAACATGTGGCTCCCAAGGACCTGTTCACAGGCCCTTGACAGTTGGGCCCCCAGGCTAGAGGGCACTTGGTGTGGGCTCCATGACAAAGCAGATCAGGGGGGCACGGCTCAGTGTGAGTGCCCCTCCACCCCCTTACCCATATGGAAAATGGGGGTGCAGTGAGATGTAGCCCCACTGGCTCCTAGCTGATGATGCCTTCTCAGTGTCTTACCTCCTGATGTGACCTGGAAGGTCTCAAAAGCTGGCCACCTGCTCAGTGGAATAGCCAGGAAACCCACAGCACTGCCCCTCACCCCCATGCAACCTCACTGTCATTAAGTCACAGGGAAAGGACCCTCTGAAAGCTCTGTTCCTCCTCTCTCTCTGCTCCACTGGCTCAGCCCTTGCTCTAGTCAATGTGAGCTTTCTGTACTCGGAATATGACACAATAACACCCATACCTTTGCACACACAGGCCTGGGTGTGGAACACACGCCTTCCCTTGGACTGGGGCCTCCTCACTTGCTCTGGGAATTCCCCTAACCTAAGCACCTACTTTGAGATTTTGGCCAGCTCAGCTGGCCATGGGACTCTGGCGTGAGCTGGCCATCTCCTGCTCGCCCTGGTCTCCTGCAAAGGGCTGAGCAGAGCCCAGGCACAGAGTGACTGTCTGGCAGGCACTTGTCACTGGAGGGGAGAGGAGACAGATCGGTACATTGCTGACCACACTCCACAATGTTCCCTCTTCCCCCAAGGAGGCTCTTTAGCTAGGCTGGGGCTGAAGTCACCCAGGATAACAAGCTCTAGGGAAGTGAACCCCCACTGGGAGGGAAGGATTCTGCTTCATACTTTGTTTTGGGGGAGGTCCTAGGTAAACAGGACGATTTCCTTTGGGGGGACCTATTTAGGAGTCTTGGCCTCCCTCTCCCATCCCTGCCTGGCCACTGAGGCACCAGGGGCTCTCCCTGCTCTTGTGCCATATATGTGGCTGCTTCTACTCTGTAGCTTTGTTGAAAGCCACAGTCACAATTAGCACCCGCTACCCTTTAAGGAAGAAAAGGCTTGAACTTCCAACTGGCATGACAAGGCACACCTGACCGAGTTCTGGCTGTTCCTGGCCTATGTGTGTGAGATGTTCTGGCGGCCCAGCATGTCTCCTGCTGTCTCTGTGTACTTGGCATAGGTCCAGTGGCCAGAACCCAGCTGGTGAGAGAACATCCTGTCCCTGACCCAGGGGGCTCCACCAAGTTCTCCACAAGGTTCTTTTACAGCTTCTCCCATCGCTGTGACCCTGGCCTCATGCTGGTCAGTCTGAGGATGTGCCTCTACATCTCCTTCACTCACCAGCTACGAGGGGGGATGCAAGGTCACCCCTGGGATGGAAAGCCTACATTCCCTGAGCCTCCTGGGAACTTCTCTGAGTTCCAAAAGTGAAACAAAGGTGGAACTTGGGCCCGTAGCCTCTTTCTTCTGTTGCAATAGTGTTCTTGGATTCCTTTGGATTGGGAACAGGGGTGTGGCAGAGGACAGAGTGTACATATCTTCCTGGGCATTCCCAAGCTTACAGGCAATATGTGTATACATATGGAGCAACTCTGAAACAAGGCTTCCAGACTCTTCTGCGGAGGCTGAAGGGAAGCTCCATGTAGAACCAGCTGCACCCCGGATACTGGGTGCAAGTAGTGGGTCCTTGGTTCCAAGACAAGAGTCTGTTAGAATTGAGCACCTCATCAGGGTCCCCCTCTGAGCCCAGAGCCTACTCCCCTCCTGCTGACCACCCCTCCCCTGCCCTGCCCTGCCTCACCCCTGCATGGGCTTCTTGAGTCCATTTCTTTCTGGCACGTGAGGGTTTCCTCCTGCAGCCAGTGATCACAGGTCCCTTCAGCAGAAGGGATGGGCTGCACACGCAGGCCTCCTCCACACTGCTGGGTTTCCTTAATTATTTTCTTCTGGTGACGGCAGCTGCCTCTGCTAAACCACCTCTCCTCAGAGTCTCAGGTACAGGAATTTACTCTGCTTGTCAATCCTGTCAACTTGTCAAGGTACGGTGGTGCTTATTTACATTCCTTTTTGGGAGCAAATGAGTCATGCCAGATTTGGCCAAGAGTGGGGCTCAGGAGCCACTCACAGAAGGCACCCTGCCAGCCAGTGGAGCTGGAGGAGGATGCGTTTATGGAGATGTCAGGCCCTACAGCTGTGACCTCCCGCTGGCACTGTCCTCACAGCCTGGAGGGTGGTGGGCCATGGGGCCTGTCCCATTTTACCTGTGCAGCCTGTGCAGAAGGATGCTGAACCCCAAGGGGTTTTCCAGGTTGGCCCACTTGAAGGCTGGAGAAAACATCCCTCCTAGACCAAACCCGGGCTTGGGGGCATCTCTGACCTCCTGGCCACTTTTACCCAATAAAGCCAAGCTGGCTGCAATTGCCCCCTTTGAAAATAAAAAAATTGTCTTGTGGAAAACCCCAGCAGTCCTTAGGCGGAGGCCGAATTTGCCACAAGCTGTACGTTCTTGACCTTTAAACTTATTATCGTTCATTTGCCAAAGACTGACCCTATCCCGTATGGCATTTTGGAATAAAGACAGGTAGTTAATGAAGGAAATGTAACAGGCTCCCCCTCCTTGCCAGGGGCCCACTGTCCCTACTTTTTCTGTAGAGGAAGGTAATCTTCCATGCACGGCTTGGATAAAAGCCAAAGCAAAGACCACGCCTAGTTCTGAGCAAGTGAAGGTGAGCAGCCTTGGGTGTCTTGAGGACAGGGTCTGGGTATCCCACAATGGACTGCACTTCAGCACTTGGACAGCTCCGTGGCGTGCTGGGGTGGAGGGCATTTAAGGACGCTGTCTCAGCTGCACCCACGAAAGTACCACGGGGGCAGGGAGAACTTGGCTTCAATATAACCACCACCAGCCCCTCCCAAGCCCTCGAATAAACATGCAGTCTAGACAGAAAAAGTGGGCTTGCTGAACAACATAAACCACAAGCCCCAGCCTCCTTTTCCATCCGATGGCACCCACGCCACCACACGCCTCCGCTGTCTCCCTCCCCCCCACCCTGCGACAGGGGAATCCCAAGGTCAGTCATGTACATGCTCCATGTCCAGGGTCTGAGCTACCTGTCTTCTCCTTTCAACATCATGTTAACAATCTGTGAGAGAGCTCCTTCCCCTGCACGGTAAGAAAAAGACAACCGCTTTCTCCTTCTGGACAGATGATATTTGCAGAGTGGTTGAAACACATGCTGTATGATAGGAGTAAATGCTGGTGAGAATAAACAAAGCGTGACTCCTTGGGACTGCCAAGTGGGCTCCACACTGTGAACTCTTCTCTGGCTCGGGGTTTTCTTCAGACTGTTGGGCTGAAAAGCTTACTGGTTACCTGTCAAGGGGAGGCAAAGGCTGATGATGTTGTATGTGGCCAGTTTCTCCTTTCTTTTCCCTCCCTCCCTTCCTTCCTTATAAAGACAGAAAACTGACATATCACCTTTTTTTTTTCTTTTTGAATTTTTATCTATTCATTTGAGAGAGAGAGAGTGAGAGTACAAGCATGGAGGAGGGGCAGAGGGAGAAGAGGAAGCAGACTCCCCACTAAGCATGGAGCCTAACTTGGGGCTCCATCCCACGACCCTGAGACCATGGCCTGAGCCAAAATAAAGGGTTGGATGTTCAAACGACAGCCTCCCAGGCGCCCCTGTGTGGCCAGTTTCTTATGATTAGGCTGTGTAGCCTGGGCCTGGGGCAGAGTTACCAAGCAGGCTTTGCAGGCACATGGGCTGTTGGGGAGGGGATGCTGCCTACTCCTCTCCCAAGTCACAGGAGAGAGACCTGCTGGGTTTAATCCAAAAGCCCCAATCTCTACTGTCCAGGACCCACTGAAGGTCAGGCTGTGTAGACCAACAACACTGACATGGGCCGAAACAGGACCCAAGTTCCCAGAAAGGGCGGGAAGCTGCCACGTGAGCCCTTGGTTGACCATGTTTGAGGAGTGTGACTGTTACTCCAACTGGCCCAATCCCAGCCCCAGGCCCTGATCGTGGTGAGGGGGTCCTGCTGCTCTGAATACTGCAGGCTGGGGAGCAGGCAGGGCTGTCCTGAAGGAGTCATACCTGCAAAGAAAAAGAGGTAGGAGAGAACAGAAGGGGCCAGCATGGGCCACGGGGCATGGATGTGAGTCCACAGTCCCTGCTCTGTGCAGAGTTTCAACCCGTGGTCCCTGATCTCCAGAGCTACCCCCAACTGCCTTTCCTTGGCTCCTTTTCCATGTCTTGGATCTTCTGGTGGCTGAGCCCGTGTGTCCACAACCATCTGGGCTGTCTCACCACATGTCCTCTTATGCTGTCCATCAGGCCAGGAAACTTCCAGGGCTTTCAGGCTGGCCTGAGCCAGGGAAGATACTGGAAACAAGGCCCCCACTGCATCTTGGTGTCCGGCATGTGTGAGATACAGAGTCCAACTTGGGTCCCGGCCCAGATTCCCTGGCAGGTGCGTCTGGTGAGCAGCCTTGCCCTGCTCTGCTGTGTCCCTTCCTCCTTAGAAAGCAGCAGCTCCTGAACCTCAGGTGCGTGCCAGGGGGCAGCCCGCACGGCGGGGTGGCGTACGGGTCCTCGCACAGTGCTGGGGGGCCGCAAGGTGGGAATCTTGGATGCGGGCAGGAGAAAGGCAGCCAGGAGGGTGCGATGCTCGCTGCAGTTAGGGGAGGAAGCCCTGAGGGAACAGCCAGGCCCCACTCCACAGGAAGCATGGAAGGGTTCTGAAGGAGGGGCTCAATTAGCCCTCCACGACTAGGATCCATGTACACGGGGAGGAGAGAATTTCTTTTAAGGAATCAGCTCATGCAAGTTGTGGAAGGAGCTGCCCAGGCTGACGGGTCTGTCTACTCCCACACAGGCGAGGAGGTCAGATCTACGATGAACCCAACTGGCTGCCTCCCATTGCCATATGTGGGGCACTAGGTCGGGGCCTGTGGCCTCCATGGGGCCACACCAGCTCTG